CATTTTATTAAAGGGACTTTCTATTTCATGAAATGACATTGTTCAGCTGCAATAATTGGCAATCTTGAGAGATACAATTATTTTTTGCAAAAAGGATACCGAAAAAATGTCTTAAATGTATATGTTTTAAATTTCGAGAAAAAGTCTCAATATGTGGGGCTCCAAAACGGAGCGCGGGGCTCGGAATTAAATCTATCAGATGTAGCGCGCTGAGTTAGCTGAGCGCATGCGCCATGTCTCGCCATCACTCGCATGGCGCATGCGCTCAGCCGACTCAGCGCGCTACACCTGATAGATCGAGCTCCGCGCTCCATTGTGGTACTCATATTCGATTGAGAATCTGAAATCCAAAGACGACAAGAAGAAGAAGAAGCTCCGCACTCCGTTTGGGAGCTCCACATATTGAGACTTTCTCGAAATTCGATTCTTCAGCTCCGAGCTCCGTTTTGAAGCTCAAGCAACTTGTAGGCGCTCGAAGCGACAAGGAAAAAAAACAACACGAAATAGAATCTCTGAAAAATCGGCCAGAGAGTGTATAGCCAGGTTTCTCTTTAAAATAGTTAATATGGCAGCATTAACAAATAAAGATTTATTCTTTTTCTTAAGAAATTTAAATTCTACTATAACTTATAAAAAACAATTGTTTGATTTCGTTGTGGAAAAATTGAATATTAATTTATCAGAATCTGGAAAATCCAAAAAAATAAAAAAATATTTACGATCATTTTGTTATAACGCTCGTACACGATGGAACAAGTCATGCAGAACATTACAACATTTTGAAAAATATAATAATTCATGGCTTAATAAACAATTTCAAATTCCAATTAGTATAAATCCTGAATCTTCCTACGAGGCTGCATCATCTAATAAATCTTTTAACGAGATTACTGAAAGACACAAACGAAGGCGAACACAAGATCTGCGAGAGTCTAATCCAACAGAAGTTCTCCTTTATGCCACACAAAAGAAATTATTAAGCGATGGTTCCACAGACATGGCAAAGATATTGGATTATCTTATAAAAAATCCAAACGAAGCTAAGAGAGTGAGAGATTTTTGTGAGAATAAAATAGAAATTCCTTTATATTCGAAAGAGAAATGTTTAGCTTTACTCCTTAGTTTAAACCTGTCTAAGTCGCAATATTTACATT